GAACTTTGACAGGGCCTTTCTTCAAACACTTGATCGGAAGCTCCTCAGCCGGGTTCACCGAGATAATACTAACCGGCGAAAGGGTCGAAGTTGGCATCAAAAGTGGAAAGATCCAAGGAGCTACACCTTTTGATGCTCAGAAAAATCCCTACAATGGGAAGAAAGAGTCCAATGATGTGTATGGTCAAAAGATTCGTCATGACCAACACGTAGGAGCAATATTGATCTCTAATCCTACGCATGCTCAACAAAGACAGGGGCATCAGCGTAAGGAAGTCACGCCTAAAAGACAATACACTAAGATCAACATGTCACTGGCTCAAGCGCTACAACACATGTTGAAGGCAGAGCTGATTATGTTAAAGGCTCCTCATCCAAACCCTAAGACTTCTTCTCCTAACTACAACCCGGATGCAAGGTGCTCTTATCATTTTGGTAGCCCAGGGCCTGACACAAACAATTGTTGGGCTCTGAAGAACAAGGTCCAAGACATGATTGATGCCAAGGAGATCGAGTTTGACCCTCCGGAGACTCCAAACATAATCACTGCTCCTATGACGAATCATTGAAATCTTTTGTTCATTTGAATTTTCAAGTTGTAATCTCTTTTATTATTCAAATAATTATCTATTAATGTCAAACTTTGTTTTCATTAATGCATTGCATATGTTTGTCTTGATTTGATCCACTCATTTTCATTACATTTAAACTATTCTTTTTACTCTCTTTATGACATTCAACTCTTGCTAAAAGTTACAAGCCTTTAGAGGGAGGATGACGAAAACAATGTCATAATCTCATACAGTATGCTTTCGGACAGACCTTGCTGACGATGTACAGGCATTTTTTCAAATCCTAAACACTGGAGTTATAAGGAAGATAATCCCTAGTCAACCCCTTCGAGCCAAAGAAGTAGAAGTTTTTCTTTTTCACAAAATTAAAACCTTTAAACAAAACCTGGGGCAGGTTAGTCTCTCAGTTAATTCAAACACGCGTTTAGCCGCAAACTCTCATCTCATAATACAACGAATGACACCAAAAACATTCCTCTGAAATCAAAAGATGGTGATGGTTCCCTATCACATAGGCAGTCATTATCTCTCAAAAAAGAAAGGCCCACTAAGTCAAAACCTACAAAGGAGACTGTGATACGGTGGGAGAACTGACTTGAGGGTTTTGCATTTTATCACAAATGTTGCGGTTAGCAAGAGTCGCCACCGACTTTTCTTTTATCCAAAAAGGAAAGGTGAAAAAGCACAGGAAAGACCTTTGATATTGTTTCTTGAGTTCGGGGGGTAGATTATGAAAAGGGAAGGTATTAGCACCCTTTTCATCCATGGTTTTCCATGGGCTCTTAGTTACTTGCTAGATCACTTGATTTTGTTTGAAATTATGCTTTGTGTAGTGTTGAAAGTATTTTGTAAAAGAGGCCATTGTTTAGGCAATATTTGTAATGATTCTCGTTCGTAAGAATGTATACAAATATGTTTGTCTTTTTGAAAATGTTTTCAATGTTTGTAAGATGTTTTGAAATGTGTGTGTTTGTTTTGGAAAATAGCAAGGATAGTTGTTTTGAAATGGAGTAAGTAACTAGAAGTAATCTACCTACTCAAATGTCTTTCTTGTTCATTTTCTTTTCCTTTGACATTGTTGTCTTACCATTGATTTGGTAAGCAAGCCTATCTTTGGATGTAAACGGGACGGGCGTGGGTCATCGTATACCCATGATTAGCAATGTTACAAAGTATCTTATCATTTTTTGAGGGACTAAGATCATTTTATAAGGAAACTTTGAATAGAGTCATCGAGGGACTATGATCTTATACTTGTTTGTTTTTCCAAGATACTTCGCATGCGTAACATGGCCATTTTTTGTGTAAGGCAACCAAGTGGAGTAACCCTAAGGGTGCTTGTGTGTAAGTGTGTTATTTTCATGCTTGATTTTGTCTTGGATTTAGGGTTTTCTATTTGATTTGTTTTGATTTGGCCACACAAACCCTAATTACTAGCATGGTATATAAAAGCAGTAAATTGCGTGATTTTAAAGATTACTACGCTATTACAACATTTTATGGGAGGGGGTATACAAATTATGAATGGGGATTTGCAATAATGTAAATCTAATTAAGCTATTACAACCAAATCGAATTCGTACGAATATTTGAATAAACGATATACAATATAATTTAAATATGCAATGTTATGTATATGCAAGAAAATATTTTTGTTTTGTTTTTCATATAAATAAGAGTTTTGAATTAAACTTAATAAATTAAAAAAGGAAATTATTTTTATACATCGATTAACCCTAATTTTAGTTTATTAAAAGGAAATAAAGTTCTTTAAATATCATTTTTTGTGTATTTTTGTCTTAAAATAATAAATAATATTTATGAAAATATTTAGTCTTTTTATATGTCAAAATAAATATTTACAAGTATGAAGGAAAAGAAATAAAAATTAACCTAAATCTATTTTACTTTACAAGTTTATTTAAGAAGAATAGCTAATATATAATTTATTATGTGAAAATAAAATAAAATAAACAAAAATAAAATATTCAACATATTTATATTTTTCACGATTTTTTATGTTAAAGAAAATAGATTTAATAGAATGAAAATGAAAAATAAAAATAAATAATAAAAAGATTGGGCCAGGGGTGTTGTAAGAGAAAGGAAGGTAAGTGTTAGAAAAAATGAGAGGCCCAATGGAACAAAGCAGCGCTGCCAAAAACTGACAAAAAATGAAGCTGAAAAAATATGAAAAATGAAAAAGGTAGCGCCAAGGTTCGAACCCATGACCTATGCCTTTTCAGTGCGCTACCTTGCCACTGGGGTGGCTGTACATCCGTTAGTTCATATGAAACTAAAAATAGATAACACAAAATGCCTCCTTGCCATGTACTTCATCTTCTTCCTCAAGCTAGCCAGAACCTCTGTATCTTTCTCATTTCTCCATGAAAGTGGAAACTTCCAACATGAAAATGATAGTACTCTTTCCCACAGTTCAATCATGTGACTCATGTAAACTATCAGTCAAAGATCAAACCTAATTTCAATGGCCCTAAATTTAAACCTAATTTTTGCAGAAATTTTAACTCTAAAATTCTCTATACACAATGAATATAAATGAAATCTATGAACATGGTTGGTTTTAGCACAAGGATATCTACATTTTATCTTCACAAATCGTGATAAATAGATGCATGTATGAAGAGATAGAAGTTGGAGTTCTTACTTCTTTCAGCTGAGATCGTGAATGGAGTTTGTGTGAGTTTTATGAAGGCCTGAAGATCCCTTTAGCTTGCTTGGACCTCCCTATGTATGTTCCAATCTTTAGCTTGTTTTGAAAGTTCCTGAATCTCCCTATCCAAGTCAATCTGCAAGCTTGAAAAACAAAAATGGCAGATGGAGAAGGAGGAGTTACAGTGAAGGGGTGATGGTCTGGAACACTTAGATATGAGGTAGGTTAAGTGTTTGAGTGATTAGAACTTGAAATGCATGAGTGGATTTTTGGATTGCTATGCTTGGTATCAAACTGCAAGTTATGACAGGTTTTTGGTGATGGGGAGTTTTAAAGAGTTTCTGGCCTTGAGAAATTGTGTGTTAAGTTGTAATGTCTTTGTGTATAAGTATAGAGAAGGTTTTAAGTCAGCTCCACAACAGATTTCTCAATTGTAGCCTTTTTTCTCTATTGTTTGTCCTTTAAGAAAAGTGAAGAGACAACTCTCCATATGCTTGTACAGGCCTGCTTGGAGTTGGTACAAGTTCTAGACAATTTGATTTTGGTTTATAGGACTTGTGTGTGCAGAGAAAATAGGTCCAATGCTCAAGAAGTGAAAAGTTGCAAAAGTTATGCTTTTCTAAAATGGCAATGGCAACTTTGTGCCATTTATGGAATTAAAGCTTGGACAAAGACTCTTATGCTTGGATTAAGGTTTTATCATGTATGTAAGAATTAAACTATGAAGTGAGAAAAAAGTTTGAGACCTTTAAAGCAAGAATTAGGCAACACAGGTTCAGATTTGAATTTTGTTCTTCATGAAATCACTACAAGAAAATTAGTGTTTAACGACACAAAAATTGCGACAGTTATGTGATAACTGTCGTAATTGACATATAGAGACAGTGTTTACGACAGTTGACACCAACCGTCCCTAATATTTATTTTGCGACGGTATATTTAACCATCATAATATTATTATTACGACGGTAAAACAACCGTCGGCCCCCATTTAACACTTTTAACATTGATTTTTCACCAACAACTAGTCACGACGGTAAAATTAACCGTCCTAAAAGGCATATCACGACGGTAAAGCACCCGTCGCACCCTTAAACCTTTCACGACAGTAAAATTATCCGTCCTAAAATTCATTTCACGACGGTAAAACAACCGTCGCACCCAAAACCTTTAAAAATTCTCATGGGCACGACGGTAAAACACCCGTCGCCGTAAAAAAGTTAAAAAGCTCATAAAACATCCATTCACTTTCTACTCCTGCTTTCACTTTTTATACTCACGGTGCCGTTCATGCCGTTCTTCTTCACACCGAAAGAAACCCCTTGACACCGAAAGGAATCTCTTCAAACCGCTCATCTTCACACCAAAAAACGCACAGCAAGCAGTTTAACATCCTCTGCGTTCATCTCTTCAAACACAGTAAGTTTTATGTATCACTTTTTGCATTGTTCTCATCTCTCTCATTCTCTGCCATTGATTTCAGCATTGGAGATTCACTTGAATCTTATGGTTGAGCTCTTTGTGATGATTGATTTTGAGTTTGAATATATTGAATTGATGTTAGGTTTTCTAATTTGTTGTTTTAGGGTTTTATTTCTTTTTATGATTTTTTAGGTTTTCTAATTTGTTGTTTTAGGGTTTGATTTGATTATTAGATTAAATATGTCGCTGGACCGATTAGAATCGATGAAAACTAATATAAATTGGTGAAATCAAAAAAATTGCCTATTTTCTTAAACAATGATTTATCAGTAATGAAGTTCTGTTTTGGAGGAATTGCAACTTTGTATGCATTTGGTGTTTGTGCTTCATCATCTAAAGGCGATATCTGGAATTGGAACCAACGATTCCAAATTGTTCTTGGAATTGCTAGAGGTCTTGTATACTTGCATGAAGGATGTTGCACCCAAATCATCCATTGTGATATTAAACCCCAAAATATACTTCTAGATGATCACTACAATGCTAGGATTTCAGATTTTGGGTTAGCAAAGCTATTGCTGATTAATCAGAGCCACACCGAAACTGGAATTAGAGGAACCAAAGGGTATGTTGCGCCAGATTGGTTTAGGAGTGCACCAATCACTGCAAAAGTTGATACTTATAGTTTTGGTGTATTGTTGTTAGAGATCATTTGTTGTAGGAAAAATGTAGAGAAGGAATTTGTTAATGAAGAACAAGGGATTTTAACTGATTGGGCTTATGATTGCTATAAGACTAAAAGACTTGACAATCTCTTAGAAAATGATAATGAGGTCGGAAATGACATGATGAGTTTGGAAAAGTTAGTCATGATTGTTATTTGGTGTATTCAAGAAGATCCTTCTCTTAGGCCAACAATGAAGGAGGTTTTACTGATGTTAGAAGGAATAGTCAAAGTTGTTGTTCCCCGAAGTCCCTATCTTTATGGTTCTGTAAGTTGTAATTAAAATTAAAATTTCTTTTGAATATTTAGCTCTCATTTATATCATATCACAGAAATTAAATTGGATTTTATTATTAAGCTATGTTTTGCTTTTTCTTTTGCACTTAACAAATAAGGTATCTATTGATTCAGACACATATTCAGACACAATAAATTCTAAGAAAACCCAGAAAGCTATTCGGGTCATGGAGATTTTGGAAAAGCACGGTCAGGCTGATGTTTTTGCGTATGAAGCACTTTTAAATGGGTATTGTAAAGCTGATATAGTTGATGCTGCCAATAAGGTGCTTGATAGAATGAAAAAGAGAGGTTTTTAACCTGATGTTGTTACTTATAATATTCTCATTGGGAGTCTTTATGGGAGGGGTAAACTTGATTTGGCTTTAAGGGTTATGGATCACTTGTTGAAAGATAATTGTAGGCCAAATGTTATAACTTATACTATTTTGATTAAAGCAACTATTATTGAAGGTGGTATTGATAAGGCTATGAAGCTTTTGGATGAGATGTTGTCGAGAGGGCTTCGACCTGATGTGTCTACTTATAATGTTGTTGTTAAAGGTATGTGTAAAGAAGGGTTGTTGGATAGAGCTTTTGAGTATCTTAGTAGTATAAGTTGTAAGGGCTGTGTTGCTGATGTGAGTCCTTATAATATTCTGTTGAAGAATCTTTTGAAAGAAGGGAAATGGGAAGCTGGAGAGAGTTTGATGTCTGATATGTTGGATAAAGGTTGTGAGCCGAGTTGTGTGACATACAGCATATTGATTTGTTCACTTTGTCGTGATGGTAAAATTGTCGAGGCTGAGAATGTGTTGAAGGGTATGAAGAAGAGAGGGTTGGCTCCTAATGCTTATTGTTACAATCCATTGATTTCTGCTATTTGTAAAGAAGGAAAAGTAAATTTGGCTATAGAGTATTTAAATAACTTGATATCAGATGGTGGTTTTCCTAGTATTGTTTCCTATAACTCGATCTTGGCTTCTCTGTGTGAGAATGGACATGCTGATGAGGCTTTGAACATCTTTGAGAAGCTCAGTGAAGTGGGCTGTCCTCCAGATGCAATTTCTTATAATACATTGTTTGGTGCATTGTGGAGCAGCGGCGATGAAATTAGAGCGTTGGGGATGATTTTGGATATGTTAAGCAAAGGCATTGATCCTGACAAGGTCACATATAGTTCACTTATTTCTTACTTGTGCAGAGATGGATTCATGGATCAGGCAATTGAGTTGTTGGTTGACATGATGGAGAGTCACAAGTATCAGCCTGCTGTTATTAATTACAATGATGTTATTTATGGATTGTGCAAGGTACAAAGAATCATAGATGCTATTGAGGTGCTTGTTGCTATGAATCAGAGAGGATGTGTGCCAAATGAAAATACATGATGTGCACTCCAGTATCTCAGAGTGGCATGTACAAGCAGTACGGGAAAAGTACATGAAATCCAAGGTACGTAGTGGATTGGGTTTCCTTGCAGTCAAAGTCACACGCATTCACGTACTCAGAGTTTTACTGACAATTTAATCAAGATCAGTCAGGGTCACTAAAGCCCTGAATGCATAAATGTGTGGTTAATGTGACTGCATTGAATCCATTTTTAACGGTGTTCACTTAGTTTGTCAGTGTTTGTTATTGAATCCAGCACTGATATCTAATCTAACTGTCCTTTTTACAAACAGTTTCTGAGTATGGCATCTTTGACTGCTGGGGAAATTCCTGCAAACTATTTTGATCCTATTGATCAATAAGATTTGAGCCGTTGAACACCATCTGCACTTTCCATCCACAAATTTTGTCGAGTCTGTTTCGAAGAGCCCCATCAGCTTATTATAGGCGCCAGAAACTCTGATGATTTGCTGCTGTTTTGTATGATTTATAAACTGTCAATGTTTTTCTTTGTATGGATAATGTGGGTATATTTTTGTTTTAGCTTTCGGTTTCAATAAGTAACAGATCTAGTAATCTGGAATTCTGTTAAATTATATCATAGATGCTATTGAGGGTCTGGAGCACAGTACCGGCCGTTGTTTATACACTGAGACTTGCATTGATTGCTTAAGAGAAAATCATTATTAGCTTGTTATTATTGTGGTGAACTTGTGTTATTCTTCCATGACATTATTTATTTATGTATTCAATTACTAACCTCTGCAATTTAGGTGAACAAATTTTGATCATATGTTTTTTTTAGAGAATCTTATTTACATTATTACATAATCTGCTTTTGACAGTCAATGTACAGTCGCTATCTGGATCTCCTTCCAATTTCCAAGTTTACACTGCTTTATTGAAACCTCATGAGAGAATTATGGCACTCGATCTTCCCCATGGTGGGCATCTTTCACATGGATATCAGGTAAGTTCTGCTTTTAATTACCATTTGTGTTCATTGCACCTGCTTCCATGAGTTGACAACCATAGCAAGTATGCACTAGCCACTAGGATATGACAAATAAATGTTGCTGCAAAAATGGCACTTAAGTGACTGGTATATTGTCATTTTTTTGTTTTTGCTTATTTAGGTAAGAAAACAATTTATCAAGGAAAGAAATTAAAACAGGACTTCTCTTAAGACAACAAAAAAAATTTAGTAAATAAACAAAAGGGAAAAGAAGTCGGTTAAAAAATGTATTATATAGGAAGTATGAGCAGTTGTGGTCAAAATCATACAAGGAAGCTAAGAAAAAAAATCCTTTCCTTAAATTATGCGTGAGAAAGAAATTCAAATATTTCAAATCATATTCTAGCCAAATAAACTTGTGATTAAATTAATTCTCTCTAAACTTCTTTCTTAGATTATAAATGGACCAGACACAGTCTATAAGCATTTCAATAGAGCCAAACCATTTATAAAATATTTGCATCTCATAAAATTGAAAAACAGTGTACTGTATGCAAATTACAAATTAGAAGCCTCTTAACTTTTCAGTCTTACTGAAAGACCCCTAATTTTACCTCACTCTCAATCTTTCTTTTACAATGCCATCTACTAGTTTCTTTTAATTATTTTACACTTGTGTTAGTTGTGGGATTAGTAGGCTAAGCCAATGCAGAATTTTCCCAATGCTCTTTCAAAATGGCTCTAGATTCACATATGTTGCTTGACATTTACTTTCCATTTTGCTGTTAAATGTTAAAAAAATTAGAACAATGTATATCCTATTTCTCTATACAAACTTTCATTTATATCTCTGTGTCATGCAGACTGACACCAAGAATATATCAGCCGTATCTATATTCTTTGAAACAATGCCGTACAGATTGGACGAGAGCACTGGTTATATTGATTATGACCAGGTAGGCAGGTAGCATTGTATTTCTGTATTGTGGACATGTCTGTTTCAATCAAAGACAATTTTTCTAGTTCTAAGTAGTCAGTATTGTTTTTGTTTCACTTGTTGTCACCTTTACCTTTGTCAATATGCAAGTGTTTTCTCATTCAATGTTTGGTTATAGCTTAGTACTCGATTGCCTCACCATTCATCATTATGCTATCTATTCTTTATTATTATTATCACATTAAGTGTCCTAGCGAATGGTAAAAACAATAAACAAAAACTTTTTTTTGTGAGCAGGCGTTAGGTTTTGTGCTTATTGACAGTGCTTTTTATCTTTCTTGCATATCCTAGATTTAAACATGTACTTTATGGCTTGACTTGTCTAATATACCTGCAGATGGAGAAAAGTGCTGCACTTTTTAGGCCAAAATTAATAGTTGCCGGTGCTAGTGCTTATGCCCGCCTTTATGATTATGCACGTATTCGCAAGGTAAGCTATATCTGATTATAGAAACTTAGATATTTTATGTTCTTAACATTGTAGTGATGATATTGTGTCTTTCACATTTGAATTGTTTTAGGTCTGTGATAAACAGAAGGCAGTTATGTTAGCTGATATGGCCCACATCAATGGATTAGTTGTTGCAGGTGTTATTCCTTCTCCTTTTGATTATGCAGATGTTGTAACAATCAGTTTGCCTTTATTTTATGGTCGGGGTAGGGATTAAAAGAATCTCAATTGTCTTAGTTGATATATTAACTCATTCATTTGTGCTCTTATGTTTTTCAATGAATTTTTTCAAATATGAGGGTGGTATATTTCTATTTGAGTAACCAGGCTTGCGATATGTAGATAGCTCCTCATCAGATGTTTGATGATTAGGAAGCAAACAAAATTTTGCATTTTTGCAAAGGTGAGAATACAAAGCAACAATCCCTCCTGCACAAGTTGAAAGCCTCAGTACTACTACACTTAATACATATTATAAAGGGATTTTTTTGAGGAGGGGCAGGGGATCGAGACTCAAAATAATAATGAATAACAATCCTTACCATTGCTCAATGTACTGCTTTCTTATTATTCATGGCAAAAATGTCAAAATTATATACCAACAGTATTATTCAAGTCCAATTGCAATAGTTTGTGCCACCTCCTAGTTTGTGCCAACTTCTTTTTACGTATATATGGAAGTCCATGATTTGATCAAGAGGTTCTCCCCCAATATATTATTCTTGTTATATAAACAATAGCTCAATTTTTTCTTTTTCATGTGCAGAAAAAATTACAAGCTGCAATTAAGGATTATGTGTCTGAAAATGAGGCATTTCAGAAAGTATTTGGAAAAGAAAAGCATGGATATGTTTGTAGTATGGGACTTGGAGTTACACCATCTCAAATTAATAGATCTACGAGATCGACATCTTCTTCTGCAGAAAGTGAACAAATAAAGGAAATGCAAGAAGAAATTAATGCACTTAAAGAAAAGAATTCAAAAATTTATGAATTAACATAGGCAATCATATTCTTAACGCAAAGGGACAAGGCGAGGACAAAGGAAATTGAACTCTTAATGCAAATGCAGAATTTTAGTGGAAGACAGGTATATTATTTTGACGCATTTAAAGTTAAATTTTATGAGTATTATTTTAAAGATTATTATTTTAATACCTTTTTTTAGGGATTGGAATCACCCGCTGATGGTAGACGTTCATCTAAGTCTAG